CTAGAGCAAGGATAACCAATGCCCTGAGCGATGTTCAGGGATTCTCTTTTCAACTCCCTATCAGACGAAACCTTACTGGCGACCCTGAACATGTTGCTTACTACAGCTTGCTTGGTTTTAATCGGGTGAGCCGAGGAATAATGAACCAAAATGTTCTTACTGCTCGGCTTTCGATACCATTTGGTCCTGACTGCCCCACTTAGTAGCTGGACTTGAACATTTTGCCCCCCAACGCCACCCACCTAACAACGAACGCAGCCATTTTCTTGACGGCGTTTTTCTCCCGTGTAAATTTGATGTTATTCGACTGCTCATTTAATAGATCGAAACAGGCATCCATTTCGCTTTGAGTTGAACATATAATGAGACAGTCATCGATGTATCGATGGTATAGAATTGGTCTGCGGTCTAGCACGGGTTCCTCGACTTTGGACATGAATACTATGGCTAAGACAGGGGCTAGCCGCTGTCCCATAGCAAGGCCTCTCAGCTGTTTGTAATAATCACCCGCCCATCTGAAAATAGAGCATGCTAGGCACTCCTTTAAGACTGTCATTACTTGTGAGATCGTGAACCCATAAAGATTGAGGGAGGATTCGTGCTCACGAAGCAACTCGTAAAGTGGCCTCCATGCCGCGTCATCGATGACATTTGATATATACGAAGATGTCACGTCAAATGATTCTATGATGCTATCTCCTCGAGGGTTGACACTGGTAAGTTTATCTAGTAGCGTGCTCGTATTCGTTAAGTGGGCGGCAGTACTGAAGTAAGGCTGTCCAAGGATCACAGTGATAGGAACCATGGATAATTTTGTCAGTTAGGTCCCCCAATGTTTGCTCAATTATGGGTGGGACTTTGATGTGGCCAGCGATCAATTCGAACCGAAATCAGACAAAGCAAGCTTGTGGGTCTTAATCAGTAAGTACAACACAGGACAGATCGGCAGGTCATACTTGAGCCGATTGATTGTGGTGTTCGGTATGCCTGCCACCTTCGCCACACTACACCAAGTCCTGTTAAGTTTACGATAACACGAATACGAGCATGCTACTAGATAAACACTTACCAGTGTCAACCCTCGAGGAGATAGCATCATTAGACACCATTTGACAGTGACGATTCTTCGTATATTCAATTGTATTTCGAATGGACGCGGGCACTGGAAGGCCATTTACGGTTGCTTCGTTGAGCACGAATCCTTCCCTCAAACTTTATGGGGTTCACGATCTCACAAGTAATGACAGTCTTAAAGGAGTGCCTAGCATGCTCTATTTTCAGATGGGCGGGTGATTATTACAAACAGCTGAGAGGCCTTGCTATGGGACAGCGGCTAGCCCCTGTCTTAGCCATAGTATTCATGTCCAAAGTCGAGGAACCCGTGCTAGACCGCAGACCAATTCTATACCATCGATACATCGATGACTGTCTCATTATCATGTTCAACTCAAAGCGAATCATGGGATTAGCGCTGTTTGTCGGACCTCATTTAAATGAAGCAAGTCCAATAACATCAACTCACACGGGGAGAAACCCGTCATAGAAATTGGCCTGCACGTTCCTCAATGTTCAAGTCTAGCTACTAAGTGGGGCAGTCAGGACCAAATGGTATCGAAAGCCGAGCAGTAAGAACATTTTGGTTCATTATTCCTCGGCTCACCCGATTAAAACCAAGCAAGCTGTAGTAAGCAACATGTTCAGGGTCGCCAGTAAGGTTTCGTCTGATAGGGAGTTGAGAAGAGAATCCCTGAACATCGCTCAGGGCATTGCCTTATCCAATGGGTAATCCTTATCTGGCCCTGGAGCGGTTGGCGCGAAGGGGTATTCCACAAGTCTTTAGAAAAACAGCATCAATAGATGCCTAATAAAAGTTGTTTTTTGCCTGGCATTCATTTCCGATCAAGTGAGTAAGGCAGTTCGATCACTACAACACAGGTGTGATCTGCAAAACGAAGTTAGGATTGTGGAAATACCCCCATCTAACCTTCAACGTCTTCTGGTTCGCAACCGCCTGTACGACACATTGTGTGACACTCCAGAATGTGTCGTTTGCCCCTTTGGCAAGCAGGGTGATTGCATGAAGTCTGCAGTCATCTACTTGATACACTGCCAAAGCTGTGGCAGCGAGTATATAGGGGAAACAGGACGTCCTCTCCGTGTGCGGGTCAAAGAACATCTGGAGGGACTTAGTAGGTCGCGAAGCCCTATACCCCGCTTGGAGCCCATCGGGTTCAACATCATGAAGGCACGACATTCGACGTGTCGGTGACCATATTAGCGCAGGAGGCCGAGATCACAGCGCGTAAGACATTGGAGGCATTCTGGATTACGGCAAAGGACCCTCAGATGAATAGAAAGCGTGAGCTGGCGCCCTTCCTCGACCTTTCTCGACCTTTGCAAGTTTTGATCTACCGTGAGGTCGAGGAGGGTGAATAGTACTGGTTACTTCTCGATTAAGTGTTCCTCAGGGTGGTCGACCCCGCATAGCGGCGGCTGATCAGGTGAGCCATAATACTATTGATTGATATCGTTGGGTGCTTTACTAGTCTAGGGAAATTGTCTTGAGATTGTTTAGGCGCTTGAGCGGGCAAGTTACATCTGTTTTTTGTCCATTTCAGGCTCAGACGAAGGCGAAGACGCCGAAACGTAGGCCTAATAAAGCCATCCAATCTTGTGGAGATAGATGCGGTCGCAACTGCGTATTTGGTGACGCGCGTGACAGTAGGAATTGAGAAATAAGGCTGTGTTCATACTTTGCGGCAGCGTCTACTAGCGTTCCGAGCGTCCGACAGCGTCAGCGACTGGGAAAGTATAGATATCGATCCAGCGTCTGTCAACGTCTGCCAGCGTCCACTTGCGTACCCGAGGGCGTGGAAAGTATAGATATCGATCCAGCGTTTACCAGCGCGTGCCAGCGTGGCCAGCGTCTGGTTCAGAGCATGGCGTGATAGTAGAGTACCCCTATCGCGCCATACTCTCCTCTCCTGGACGCTGGTAGACGCTGGCGCACGCTAGCAGATGCTGGCAGACGCTAGATCGATAACTATACTTCCCAGGCCATCTAGGCGCTGGTGGACGTTGGCAGACGCAGCAGATCGATATCTGTACTTTCTCGGTCACTGACGCTGCCGGACGCTCGAAACTCTAGTGAACACTTTCGCGAAGTATGAACCCAGCGTAATGGTTCTAGAGATCGCCATCAATTAGAACCTCTCCAACCCAGGGATACGGAGTGTGTGAGCCCTTGAGCCCAAGCATTACGATGCGAGGCAGTCTGACGTCCGCGTTGCTATCGCCGACGCCAGGCTTTCCTACAGGATTGTCTCTTCAGCTTGTGACGCAAGCGCCGTGTTTCGCTTCATGCAGCTGTTGCTTATGCAGACGATATCGAGTTCAGAGTGTCCGAATACCACGGAAGCGTTCCTCACATGAGAAAATTTCCGATAGAAGCGTAACCAAAAAAGGAAGTCATCCACTCCAAGAAAATAACCTACCCGAAGCAGGTGTGGTCAAACGATAGGAGCCTTTTTTTTCGGTGACAAAGTTCAACGTACATTTCCACGCTGTTCAGCAGAGTGAGACATTCTTCTGTCTTCCTCCGAAAGTCAGCGTCGAGAGATGCTCGGGCCTCTTGTTCCACTTTCAGAGACATTTGTAACTAAAAGATGGCCTTCATAAAGTAACATAATTTATGTTACGGAAAAAAGTAAATCATTCTGTGGAATCTTCCGATGGGTATTATTCACCCTGTACTGCCCCAATCTTACGAAAACAGGCAACCGTTGGCAGAATTGGCTAAAACCTTGTTCCCTAGGATATTTTGACCTCCTAAACATGAATATCATATCCGCGCGGCACGAAACCCTGGCGCCGGCGCCAAAATACCTAAATCACCAAATTTGCTGAAAACTTGTTCCCAGGGGTAGTCTGACCTCCTGAACACGAATATCACATCCGCTCAGCCCGAAACCTCCTGGCGCCCGCGCTACAGGCGCTGGCGCCAAAATACCCAAATCACCGGCGCCTGTGGCGCGGGCGCCAGGAAGTTTCGGGCTAAGCGAATGTGATATTCGTATTCAGGAGGTCAAACTACCCCAGGAGACAATTTGAGCCAAATCTGTGCACGGAGAAAAAAGTCGGTCAAAATCTGGCACAATTCTGGATGGTTGGGGCAGTAAAGGGTGAATAGTGCCTCCCGATGTAACCTTCTTTATTGATGCATATCCGTTTACGTTTGCACGAATGATCGTAGGCTCCTAAAGCTCATCGATCAGAAGGATCGGTGATTCCTAGCTCTCCTAAAAGGCCGCGGGGGGGTGGAATCGACCCTATCGATAGGTGTGTATTGCTTTTTGTTACCCAAGACCCGATTCTCGAAGGTTGCAGACAGACGTCGAAACTCCAATGTCTCACTCCGGTAGTCAATCTAATGCTGCTGCGAAAAATTTCCGGAAAATACGCCCTTCTCCACTGATGTCGACCTCAGCTACTCCCTCCCACCTCCCCGCTTACCCATCCTGCCTATAATCTTGCCAATTTTTGCAAGCTTCCTACCACTTTTACCGGAATTTACCAAAAATTTTCCAGTGTTTCCTCAGAGTTTTGCCGCCGAACGGGACGATGTGTGGTCAGAGGGGGGGGAGGTCGTCACCAACCAACTACATTGTGCGACTCCCTCCATCCAACAATCAACCCTCCCTCCTCCCCCCGCTGCGGTTCCCAACGTAGGACGTCCCCTTCAGTAATACAGAATTGTCACATCGTAATACTTGTTGTCGCTGTCAATCGAGGCCATTTCAGAAGGGGCGGAATGAGCTTCTGACTTGCAGACCAATGGTGGAATGTGTCGGGAAGAAAACAACCAGGGGTAGAAAATGCTACACGCGTGCTCATTCCATGCCCCCCTCTCGGCACCGCCTCGACTGGATGCTACAATTAAACTGCGGCTGATTTTGCACTCTCACCCATCAATCAATGATGAAGCCCGCATTCGTTGCGTGCTATACAACTTCTTTGTTATCAGTACAAGTTGCTTTAGCGTTTTGCGTTGTCATCTGAAGTCATTGTTCATTACTGATAAGGTCCCGAGGCCTTTTCTTGAAATCGGGGGACGAACTTGGAAATGGTGATGGGATAGAATGCCTATCAGCAATGAAATGGATAATTGGATTAAAAACCCGAAGGCAAAAGGCACAATAAATCGTTATGACGTAAGTTGTGACGTAGGAACCATGCGCCTAGTAGGATGCAACTCGGCGCCCATAAGCACGCGCTGCGGGCACCTTTCTCTAGGAAGGTACACTTCTTATCCCTGAGCTGGTAGGCGTGGCATTTGAACATGGCACGGAATTGGTTACTCGTGGAATATTCCAGTCTGGGACAACTGTCATCTTGTTCTGTGTTGGACAGAGACACGACAACAATTGTGTCAAGATGAAAATATCTCACCAGAAGCATAGACACCTTCAGGTTAAAGGCACATTCCGCGATAAAATAAGGCTATGACCTCTCAAATGTGTCGGACGATCCGGAAGGCGATTTTTGAGGCTGCGCTACTTTCAAAATGTGAAAAACGGCAAGAACTCCGCTAGAAGCTGACTAATTAGGCCCATGCCGACCCTCACCGGCTGCTAGCTACTAGCTAGTAGCCACTATGTTATCTTTCTCTATAACATTTCGGACTGCTTTTTCTGCTGCTTTTCTCCGCTAATCAGATACTTAGCACTTTTTTGTGCCTATTTGAGTTCCGTTTCCCGCAATTTGCGGTCGCGAACTGTGCCTTTAAGTTGAAGTATGCAACCACGCCTACCGGATCTCAGGGATCTCGAGTATACTCTTGCGGCGCCCTATTAAAGGCAAGGTCCACTATCATTTGCCACCACAGATAGTGGATTAAGAGTTCGCATAGCTCGGATGTAAAGGAAAAATGGTAAAAACATGACAACTACCCTAGATGGAACCCCATTTCGATCCCCGTTTGTATGTGCCCAGTTAATTGTATCTCCAACACTACGCCCTCATCTGCCCAGCTGGTTCCCCGATAAGAACTCTACGACCCTACGAGTGACGATTTTCATGCTTTTTCGTCCTGCAGCACTGAAATGCGGGCCTTGAGGGCGGAGTCTGGAGGCGGAGTCACTGGAAAAAAGGAGGCGTCACTGAACCTATATTGCGCTACAGCGCCCCTCCCTTGCAATTTTTTGCCGCGAAACCGGTACAAGGTTGTTCGTCGTGGACCACACTACCCACCCCACGCACTATTTTCAGCTTTATACTGAACGCGGACCGTGCTCTATGCTACAATATACTGACCCAGATGCCCACTGCGCTCGCCCTCCCACAAATGTACAACCGATTGCGAATTGGTTGATATGAAGCGCATGCTGTGCTGCATGACATATATGAGTACTACATACAGCCTCATCTACCGTAACGGTTGTTGCACGCCGCCAACGGGAAATTTGTCCGAAATTACTCCTTGAATCATTTCTTCGCAGGTTTTCGACTGTTTCACTTCGTTTTTTCGCCATTTTCCCCACTATACAGCGCCCTGCTAGCATTTCAGGCCGACCATATTACCTTGCCCTATGAATTCAAGGGGACCAGCTGATATACAAATAAGTGTCCTGGTGTTTTTAGACGAATCTAAAACCGTTTGCCGTCCCCGGGGGAGGGGGTAGAAGGGTTGGTTGGCCCGGGTCGGAGCCGATACCAGGTTTGACCCGTGCCCTGCGCACCTGGTACGCCTGCCACTTGCCGCTACACCACCGCCGCCACCAGCACACCACCATCATCACCACCACCACCAAAGAAATACACAAAAATGCTTCAGAAAAGGGTAAACACTCCTGTACTTGAATTTCCAATCAGTCTATAACTGAAAGCAAAAAGGGGTGTTTTTGAATGTTCGGTTGCGAAAGGAACCATGGCTCCGAAAGCTCATATGAAAGAGAAGCAATTCAGTATAGTAAAGAAGAGGTTGACACAGGAATTCGCAAACGCTTCATGCTCGCAACAAGGTGCTAAGAGACGGGCCTTCTGCCCTTCGTTATGAGCTGCGCTTGATCCTCATTTCATATCATTAAGTACCTTCTGGAAATAGAGTTCAGCGTGAAGGAAGCTTCAGACGATTAATTGGGATAGGTACACTCAATCAGCATCTGAATGTGTTAGGGAAACATTCAAATGAAAGGGATAAAAGCCTTAGCCATTTGACAAGGATCAGCCCCTATTCGGAATGCGCCACGCATTCGAATTCCACTCAGAATTGAAGTCGGCTTTGAGTATTCCCAATGATGCATCATGCATTGTTCTCTTCCAACCAAGTTGGGGACTAATTTGGGAACTGGAACGATCGGTTAACCTGGGCGAGATTCCCTCCGGAATTCAATCCACGGACCATGATCTGACGGTGGAAGCGGCGTCGCTTGTCACTACCTTGTGCACCGCATAATAATTGAAAATCAGAAATAAAAAATAGTTGCTAAAGAATACCAAGACTGAATATTAACAAGCAAGTCAAACTTAACAGCTCACACTTTCAATGGCCTCCTCCTTCTCAACGGCAACAGCCTCTGCTTCATCGAGTCTTCCGGACAGGTCCCCAATCTCGTCGAGGAGCCTTCTTTCTTCAGTTTTGGAACTGGAAATACACAAATACAAAGGAGTGCTAGCACGAATCCGCAAAATCTTGGGCAAAAGGTATTTGCTTGAGCCGGACCTTACGCTTTCCAAGCGGTGTGGACTCAAATCTCGGAATATGGGAGGGCGTGGTGCTACTGAACCTGACACAGGGGATGCTTTTCCTCAGATATTCCAACAGCTGTCATCATGTCTTATGCAAGAAAAAAATATGATTACATCTGTCTCAAAATGGATATACCCCATCAAAGAGCGACCGCTTTTAGGTGAAGTACACAGCCAAGCATTCCCTACCCCCGCTATACAGAGTATACCTTCTGTTACACATAAAAGGTCGAGTTTATTTCAATTACGCTGGAGTTTTCTGAATTGGTGAAAGACAAAAAAGAGCAGCTTGCAAATAGTCTTCAACGTTCCTTCGTCTATTTCGACCAGAATAAGATTCGAAGAAAAAATATATACGAAACATGAATGGGCTAAATAGAAACGCTCTGTGGCCTCGTGAGCTGAGGGGACATGTCAGGGACATGCACCGGGGAACGGGTGAGTAGCCTATGTGATGCCTTTCCGTCTGCCTCCTCTCAGCGAGACAGCCTGACATGCTTTAATATAACTCAGCCATATCGAAGACAGTACGATCACACAATCTTGGTGTGCGGTGACTATCGCCCCCAGTCTGTTCGAAGCGTAGGGGGGTTTCACGCGTCTAACATGCGCAGGAATGGAGATACAGGACCGTGAAACACGCTAATTCCTCCATGCTCCGCCCAATGCCTTTTGCGGCGCAGACTCCCGTTTATGCTAACAGCCGTCCGCGCGCGCGTGTCGCGCGCAGCGCTCTTGGCACTTTGCCGTCCTGCAATTGCGCTTTGGAATACAAGTAAAACGCAATTTCCTGATGCGGATAACATTTGAGGTGTTGCTCATGCTGCAAAGTCCGAATAGAAGGTGATGAAGATGACAAAGGCTAGAAATGAAGAACAACGAATGTAGATGTAAATAAAACAAAATTGAAAAAACTAAGGAAACAAATTAATTAAAATCGCGTGTAAATTTCTGCAATTCGGCGCGATTCCGGCTCTCAAGCTATAAACATACTTTGAACTAACGAGTGGGACGCCTAGGCCATTTTTATTTTCCATGTTTTGTGGGGATCTGTGGCCTCCGAGGGATACTGCAGACATATATTGCACAGTGGCTCTTGAGTTCTGGCACTCGTCATCATCTTCGGTTCTTTTTTGTAGCGCCTCAAATGTTATCCGCACCAGGAAATTGCGTTTTGATTGTGTTCTAAAGCGCAATTACAGGACTTGAGAGCGCAGCGCGCGACACGCGTTGCTCGGACGGCTGTTAGCGTAAACGGGAGTCTGTGCCGCAAAAGGGATTGGACGCGGAGGCATATAGGAATTAGCGTGTTTCACGGTCCTGTATCTCCATTCCTGAGCATGCTAGGACGGTGAGACCGCTACGCTTCGACAGCTGGGGAACTGATAGTCAGGCACACCTAAACTATGTGTGATCATACCATGATCGTCTCTGAAGCATGTCACCACCACTTAGCCAATGTCAGATTATGTCACGCCACTTCGACATCAACGTGACTTTGTTTCATCTTAATAAGACGTGGGTAACCCTCGTTTCGCATCCCTTACTGGGGAACAGTCTTATTATTATTACTAATATTATTACTATTGTTATTGTTCCTATCATTATTATTATTATTATTATTATTATTATTATTATTATTATTATTATTATTATTATTATTATTATTATTATTATTATTATTATTATTATTATTATTATTATATTATTATTATTATTATTATATTACTTATTATTATAGCAGCTGTAAACAGCCAACGCATACTTGTTCACTGTTCGTTCTGTAATGCGTGCAAACTTCGAGATATACGCCTTTCACAATCTGAACAACTACTGCCGGCGCCACCCAAGCTGGTGACAGCTGATTCAAAGAATCCCCATCGAATACTCGGCACGTCACAGGTCAGCAACTGTAATTGATTAGTCCTGGTGAGCGTTTTTTTTTTTGACGGGAGAGGGGATCACGCAGCTCGCCGTTCTTCAACTCTCTCCTCGACGAGATGCCGTCACAGGGTGCTAATTCAGTGAGGAGATGCAATTAACGCAGAAAAGCGCGAAGGAGTACTTGTAAAGCAGTGGATGGAGATTTCGTATATGCACAGGAGGGAAGGAACTTTTGGGTGGGTGAACCGATTTCTTTTCGCAACCGGATACAATCAAAAGCCGTGCTTTTCAACGAAATTTCCAGTGGGTATATGCACTTTACCTTTCTATTCGAATATGATCAATTTTCGAAATATGTGGAAATCCTT